TTATAATATGTATACGAGTATAAATTTGTGTCGTTATATTACGATCTTAAAAGAAAAAGTCAGAAATCCCTCTTTAGAGGGGTGTTAAGTTTCTCTAATCCCCCCTCCCCTAGTTGCATTTATGGTCAAGATCCTGAGTTATCAATTCGGCTGTTTAGAAACAGTTTTAATACCTATTTTATCTGCTAATTTGTTCATTATTCTGTAACCAGTACAACTTGTTACGTTTCTAAGTTAAGTTTAAAAATCATATTTATAATTAATTAAAATATATAGTTAAGTAGAACGTTTAACTTAAATATTTAGTTCACGTAATCATCACAGAAGTATGTCAATGAACTGAATTTATATTTTAAGACCACGATCATGATGATTTTCCACGATCGACTGCAGTAAAATATGCAGGAACTTGATATAATTGGTGCTTGGAATGTGACTTTTATAAATGAATAAGTTCACATTCACGTTCATCTTGATAAAATTTAAACTAGTTTCAGCCTCGTTCCAGGATTGAAGAAAGTTTTCTCGCTCTCGCTCCCATGATATATTAATAACACTAAGTACTTTATTACTTGTCGTTGTTTTATAGTTATGGAAATATAATAAGTAGTAATTATATTGTTAAAACATACATAGAAAATAAAATTCTAACCAAAAATATATAATTTCCGAATTGAAAGAGTTATACTTTTATTTATTTTTTAACAAATAGATTAAAAATATCGAGTTTTCAATATATTATTGATTAGTTATTAGTTATCACATGTTTATTACATCGAAAATACAATCATTTGATATGTCTGACTTTTCAACAAAAATAAAATCCTATCATTATACATTCATTTCCGTAGAGAATTGACCCAAAATATTCCTGGGAATAATAGTAAATATTTTTGTGAACATTGTCAACGCTATCGTAGGTAAATTATATATTGACACCGGTTCAATTTTATAAATTTGATATTAGTATAGTTTCTAATGAAAAAAATTACAAAAACTTTTTATTTATAAATAAAGTTCTAGAAAAAAACATATTCAATTTTCATTATATTTAAAATTTGTTTAAATAAAAACATACATAATATATATTAGATTTAAAATATATTTTAAATTAGATAAATAACGATTAGGAACGGAAACAAATCATTCATCTTGTCTCTACAAAAAAATGAACGAAATTCCAATATGTTCTAATACGTTCTTTTAGAGATCCATACCAGATAAATTCCTGAAAAGTGAACGAAATCAGAGGAATGAGTTCTTTCAAGTACTTTTGGTAACTGATAAAACAACAAGTTATTTATCTAAAAAAAAAAAAAATGTTAAATCAGTTCAAAATAAAGTAAGTTTTTTTTTTGTATACAATTATACGTGTTTGTAGTAATTGAAGTTAAAATTGTGGACAAGATATCTCAAGACGAATGAAAATTCATAAATAATTGCGTATTTAAATTATTTATATTTTAATCTTCGATTTAAATTTAAAAGAAAAATGTATAATTACGAAAAAATTAAAACCATTCATTTCAAACAATATAATTATTAAATATTATATTATAAAATGTAATTACTTTTTTTTTTTTTTTTATTTTAACACCTTTATAACATTGCATGTGACATTTTTCTGAAATTATACTACAACGCTATAATCTTATATATTAACCGGGGATAATAATTGTTTTAGTTATTTATTATTACGGCCATCCGTAATGAAAGAATTCAATTTTTATCGTTCATTATAAAGAATACGGATAAAAAAAAAATAATAATGTTGAAAAAGACGGGTATATTTGGCACAACAGACGGACGACAGTTTCAGATGTTAATTTGATACATGTACGTAAAAGTAAGGTAAGATTAAGGTTAAGATAAGGTTTCCTTTATTCCTATATTTCTCTCAATTATCATGAAACTCGCTTGGAAAATCAAAGAAAAATCCTAAAATAAGGTTTAAATAACCTAAAATAAAATTTCCTCTCGGTAAAAGTTCTACATTTGAAAATCGGAGCAAGATTTCAAGAGAAAAGTCGTTCAAAGAAAATAAAAAAATAAATAAATGAACATCATTGTACACCAATACATTCTTCATTAAGCTCCGAATCTAAAAATATTTATAACATTGTACTTCACACAGTATGTGGGTCACTGTTGTGGATGGGAAGTTCGGAAGGTATAGGACGTAGCCAGTAATTGGATTAGTTTGTACAGGATGGTTTTTTAGCATGTTTACTTAATTTTTATGATTAAACTGTGCATACATGAAAATTCTGTTTTTTGAAATTGTTAAGTGTAGTTAATGACCATATTTGCGAATAATTAGATTTTCAACAACATTTAATGAGTATTCTATTGAAATATCAAGTTTGGTTTTTTAAATGAGAACCTACATATAAAAGTTCCGCATCTTTTTCGTTACAAAGACACTTAATTTTGGAGAAAAACGTGCATCATAGTAAAGCTAAGATGCAACTTCTACAATACACTTGAAATCAAAAATAATAATTATAATAAATCGGCGTTGTGAAAAAGATTTGTATTTTATAAAACTTTTCAAAATGAAGTTACAATTGACCAACGTCGTAAGCATAACGTATATATTATATAGTTTATTTACGATAAGGTGATCATGTTTTTTTTTTCTTTTTCTTTTTACAAGAAACTTATTAAACTTGTGAGGCCAAGTTTATATTATAAGTAAAGAAACGTTCGTTTTTCAGTCGTAAAAATCTCCGGTACAGGATACGTGTATTACTATATATATACAGTAATAAGAGTTTATTTTTATGGCGGTGATATTTTTGTGAACGTGACGAAAAACTCGTCCGGTCTACTCCACACTACGATGATGCCGTTCGCAAATAGTTTTTTCTAGAGTTTTCCACTACTCGAACATCATTTGCCGACTCAACGATTCCGTTGTTTTCGGTAAAAATTAGCGTTGAATGAGGAACGAAGGGGTGTGAAATCCATTATGGAATTATATAAATTATTATTAAAATGCATAAACTACTCAGATGTTTTTCAATAACCTATATATACGTAAATGTAATTATAATTTTTTACTTTAAAATATAAATAGCTAAGTTATCTACTATCCCTAAAATTACTCTACTTTTGAACAGTTTTTGGGAAGAGGGATGGGTGGTTCGGAGGTATTGATTCAAAGATTTGAAAAATTATTTGTGTACCTACGTATAATTTTATACGTACACAATTTGAATAAATTATGTGCCTAAAGAATGCAAATCGCGATAGAATTGGTTAAAATATTTTCACTCGACAGTAAGTATTCTGCAGATCGCCCGACTAGGACCGACCTTTTAAGGCTGCAAACGGTCTCCGCAGCAGTGATTGTGTCTAGGAACGCGGATAATGCAGAACATTAGTCGATTTATTTAAAGACTCGTCGTCGTCGTCGTGGTCGAAATCCGACCCAAAACTTTCAGTACAAAAGTGTTCGCCGCAATAATAATAATAATAATAATAATAATAATAATAATAATATAATGGTGGAACTTTGAGAGATATTCGGACCACGCGGGAATTATTCTCGTAACCACAACGATACAATATATTTTATTTAAAATAATTCAATTCGAAACCATTAATCAACAACGGTACAATAGATTAAAATATATTATTATATAACATTTATGTAGCACTGTAAATGTCCAGAGCTACGAAGAGAGTTTTGGACGCCACCACTAGACGAAAATGCATACATATACTTAAAAGTAAACTAATGTTCAATATCGCCAAATTCGTATACTTATCTATAGGTGATATTGAATTTGTCGAATAAGCAACCAATTCGAATAATTATGTAATAATAATAATATAGAGTTATTTTTTTCCGTTCTAACTTTAACACCCTTTTTCAGTCCTTAATAAAGGATTGGATTTCCGAAAACCGCCAAACATGTGATTAACTATTTATTCGATTGATTATTATTAACACATGTTTTGGGTTATTGACCGAAAACGTATAATATTTCGATTCTTTACGATTTATTGATTTGAAATTTTTGAATTATTTTAGGTTTTATTTTTGTTTTGTTTACAACGAAAAGGTTTTATTTTGGCCCAATACATTTGCTGGACAGTATTAAACTCTTTGATCTCACTGGTAAATACAAAAGTTGTGGAGCCTTATTATTATTATGACTCGAAATAAGTTTGACCTTGTAAAAATCACGAACAATTGTAAATATTAATCAATTCATGTTTAATGTCCTATCTATGGATAGGATATTCGATTGAACGAATAAAATAATACAACTAATATAACACTATACTAACCAGTATTCTATTATTATTATGATATTATTATAGTGATTTTTTTTTCTTTACACACGTGTCGTACAGAAATTTTACAAAGAAAACGAACGCGTTTACTTGGCCGAAATAATAGTACGCAATAATAACGTGACTAGTATTCGATTATATAATTTCACTTATCTTTTTCTAAGCCTAGTAATTTTAAAGGGCTCTTATCGTAGGATCTAGGACTTTTTTTTAAGACGGTTTTTGTGTTCGATTGGGTGAATACCCAATTCAGTAAAGTCCATTGATACCCCCCAGTAGAGTATGATTGTGCTTATTAATTGTCCACTAAAATATAAATAAATAATGGTGAAATATTGAGTTATTAGATTTTGTAACAAATTTTATATTTTGTATAGTAAACACTTTTATCACTGGCGATAAGGGAGAGTAACTGAAAAAAGTTCAAAAAGTAAGGGGAAGGTTTGGTGTACCTTCTCGAGAACCTTTTTTTGAAGAAAGTAGCAATATCTGTATATAGATACATTAAAAAAAAAAAAAATGCTTCGAATATTCGTTGTTGTTTGAAAACAAAAGTGCTAATCGTTAGATTGTGTTGTACAGTATTAAATTTACTGTTTTTTTGTGACAGGTGTAAAAAAAAAAAAAAAACTTTCTCGAGATATCGTATACAAAAATCGATTTCGTCTATATCTATAATACCTTACCATGCGCGATCCGACAATCGTCGCGAAACTTCTATTAAAATAGGTGTGCGAGGAAACTCAAGCCAAAACTTATTACTATCGCTTCCGTCGCCTTCGGTTGACCCGAAGAAAAACGTCCGACCGTAATGTGTGCATATTTGTGTACGCTAGAAAAAGCGCAGAAAAGTTTGACGATGGAATCCGCGCAAAGTTGTATAAGAAATCAAAATTCGTTTTCTGCAGAAATACGGCTAGATTTAATATAATAATATTTTTTAGACTATATAGTTGTAAGTCATCATCTATTATACGATACAAATCATTTATTTCCACTAGTCGGTAATATTACATCGTTGTCATCTCGTATTCCGGCCGGTGCGGGTTAATTGATTCGATTCGGGCTTTATTATTAATACATATTTATATATTACGTATCTGCGCGTAATACCGGGGAATGCGATATTACACGGTCGGATAGACGACAATATTATCATAATTTATAACTATACCTTATATTACCGATTAAACGGTATAAGTTTTTTTTTTTTTTTTTAAAAAATAAAAAATGTTTTTAAATATTATAAACAACGTTAAAAAGATATAATAACGATTCGAATGCCGTATAGCAATTCGAGAAGATTATTTCAAAGGATTATTGTAAAATTTTATTACGGAAAGTTCGTCTGTCCGAAAGATTTTAATATGCCCAAAAAAAAAACAAAAATACCACGAACACAATTCATAGATTAAAAAGAGTATTCAAACAATCAAGATTTGAAAACAGATTGTTGAAACAATTCGGAATGAAATTTGAAGTTTCTCGGAGAAAATCATTCGAGACCGAAAAATAAAACATATATGAGCTATCGAACTTATAACCTTTTGGACAGACGACCTTTCGAACACTTGTCGTTCGAACATATGACATTCAAACATACAATTTTCGAAAAGGTGATTCTTTATCTATATAATAATAACGCATTTTTCGTCGACGCGAAAAAAAAAACGATGCTGTAAATAAACCGTTGTCGGCGGATGAGTTTACGTATATAAATAAGTCAAAGGAAAATTGGTAAATCAGAAAATGAATTTCTAACGTGCCATTTTATTTCTATTTTAATTCTCCCATTAAATTTCCACTGTATTTTTTTTTTAAAAATCTTTTATTTAATATGCAGGTATATATTGGTATAACCTAACACACAGGTGAATATATCAATGCCATGATAAAAAGCTGTTGCTGATGATCGGTGTGTCATTGTTTTAGGAGGGAAGTTAGAAAGGAGCACTTTATTTCATATCTGTATTTATAAATAAAAATAAACTATTGCTAATGAAAAATGATTCCGAGCATATTATTATTAGTTATTATTTATCCAGTTTAAATTTTACTCATTTATTGAGAAAAATACAAATAAAATCAAAAATAATCACAGTTTATCAACTAGAACAAAATTTTTTTTTTTATGGTTTTATTAAGTTTGACATTCTATCCGTATGGGTCAAATTTAGTAATTTTATAGTAATAATGATAAATGTATTATGGGAGAAAAATAACCATTAGCATCGTATATATTATACAAAGATTGATTCATTAAGTGTGCTCATACCATTTTATTGTTAAATTTTGCTTATTACATTAAAATTTTAGATTTTTTAAGTGTAGATAAAACCAAAATGTACAAATACTTAGATTCTGCATAACATTTAAGTAGTATACCGTGGCGATAATAACTTTGGTTTTGAAAATGAGAACCTACATGCAAATTGATCGTTGTTTTCCAAATCATAATAATTTATAATTCTTTAATTCTATATAATATTATGTAAGCAAGCAAAACCTAGCGGCGGTGCTATTAAATCACGAGGTCTAGGCTATAAAGCATATTATTACCCATTTCAAACCAATGAAATCGCTACGTGACAAACAAATCCTCGGCAATAAAATATATCTAGGTACGTGTTTACGTAACAAAATAATTTCAATACTATTACAGAGTGTTTCTTTTATATTACCATGTTAACCCGTAGCGATTTTCTATACGAAGATTTTTTTGATTTAAATTGATTTTGCGATAGTCACGGCTATACGTCACACCGTCATATTACCCATGCAATAGAATCGTTTAACACGATAATGTTATTTTATTTATAATATGTTCAAAATTTAACCCTTTTAATCCGTATTAGGCATACCTTAATACTTGTGCATTGTCTTTTAATTTTCACTCATGTTTTTAAATTCGAAAATGGCAACACTAGCTGGTTCATGAAATCACAGTAAAAAACCTATCCTAAATTAATTAATTAATTAATTTATTTTATAATTATAAGACGCCCGACGGCAATAGAGTGTATAAAGAATTATTTTAAGATTCACCAACTTATAGTTATACACTAAACAAAACAAACTACTAGAATATTATAAGAGAACACAAAATAATGTAAGAGAAAGGAAGTTATTTGTCAATTGTGCAATAAATTTGCAGTATGCAAAAAATTATACAGTCATCAAGTTCAAAAGTTTAAACATAAAGGCCGAATTTTAGATTCATAATCGCAATTAAAATCAATATCTTTGAGGTTATTACAAGACCGAAGCATTCTACTCTTAAGTTCATTATAACTGTAAGTTCGAACGTGAAATGATTCATAACAAGTGATTCTTGACCTGCAATAAAAAATGGGAGTTGACCAACCAATTTTCTCGAGTATCTCCAGACCATGAATATTATTTTTAAGATTTTATAAATAAAAGACATCAATAAACGTACGTCTGGAAGATTGTGTACATAGACCTAATTTCAGTGCAAGTTTCTTCACGGGGTGATTCATCATAGCAGCAAAATAGTTATTATAATATAAATAATATAATTTTCAGATAAAAAATAAATTACTACCTATTCACTAATTCAGTAGTCAGACACAGTTAAAGATTAACCAACCTTCGAAAACTACCTATCGGTTTTAGATTCTAAGTGGAACGGAGAATTTTTTGGTTTTAATTTAATGTTTTTTTTTCATTTTCTTTTTTACATGAACACTTATTCTACCAGAAAGCATACTCCAGTTATCAAGTATATCATCTTTTCTGAAACGAAATCTTCTCTGGGTGGTACTTTAGAAAGGTATTTTTTTACAAATTCTCATTAATATCCGAGATAATGAGGAAAACTTCGGTTTTCAGGTTAAAAAAGATTAAAAGATTAAAAATAAGGTTGTCATTGGCAACAGTTTTTGTTTATTTTTTTTAGGTTTCTATTATTTTAATTTGTTTTAAATAATCATTGTTGTAATGGTTTTATCATAATATGACCTAATACCATATATTGTATTGTTGACAAAGCGACATTATAAATTGAACTCCACCCAAAATTTTTTTTTCTTCAGCAATGGTTTATCGTTGCTTACAGATAAACATTAAATTCCCATTTGTATCCCACCTTCCCAACTTCCTACCAACAAAAATGGCTGCGCCCAAGTGCGAAGAATGCCCGTCTTTTTTTTTTATTGCATGTATATACAGGATGATATAATAAGCGTGTTCACTTCATTTTTTTGGCTTAATTTCGTATATATTTAAATTTGTATGTGTAGTTTAAGCCGATATTTTTGAGTACTTAGATTTTTCACAACATTTAAGGAGTATCCTTTGGCGATACCAAATTTGGTTTTTTAAATGAGAACCTATATTAAAAAAAAATTCCATAAATAGACGGAGTAAAAATAGATTTTTGTGTCAACATATTTAATTTCCTTCAAGCCGTTAACAAGATATTCCACTTTAAAGTTTAGGTAAGGGGAGAGTAATGGAGTATAATTTGTTTGACGGCGTTTTATTAGTGTTCGAATACAGTCCCCGTAAGTAGTCTTGTAAGTTAAAAATTCCAAAAATGAAAATTTGAATGCATGCAAAGTTTAACCAAAAAAAAAAAAAAAAAATAATGATAAAAAAAAAACATGGTACGAACACAATTAGTAAGATCATTCTGTATATATATATATAAAGTATTTTGTACACAAACTTAATGTTCGCGAGATAATTTATTATTAATATTTTTTTTGTAAACTTAGATATTATTTTATTTTGTAATTACCTTAATATTCTTACTCGCCACGGTATATAATTATTATTATCATACCTAAATGTACAATAACCTGGTTATAATTATTTATAACCTTTTATAATTTCATATTGAACTGGAGGCACGGGGAATAATTTTATTTATTTATTTATTTAATATCTTAAACAAACTAAACGCGAATATTTTGGCAAAACACGAGCAAAAAGCGTAGTGTGTGTGTATGTGTGTGTAAATTTTAAATTAAAATACATAATTATTTTTAGACTGAAATTACGTTTCGTACAAATAATGTGTTGGTAAATATTTGTATAATACAATAATACTATTGCAATTATTTGGTCAATTTTTTTTTGTTTTGCTTAAAATGATAAGAAAAAAGTATGCATAACGAGGCGTCCATATTATTATTTTGGACAAATATTTGATGTTTTTTTTTTTTTTACTATAAATATTTAGGATTTCACCGACAAAAGACTATAGCGACTTTTTTGCGTAAAAAATTAAAATTCAATTTGTGAAATGTGAACGTTGCAATATTGCGTAATGTATTATTTATTATTATTAATTTACTATGCACGTCGTGTAAAACAAATATTAATATTATGACGATGCCTAATCTTATTATTTTCTACTGTGTGGTATTTTATGAAGTTAACTGATACAAATATTTTCTGACCGCAGATTTAACATTTATTCGTATCATCATTTAAACAATGGACCCGTTTACTATATGAATCTGATTATGTAAGTATAAATAATCCAAGTGAATATCGGTAAGACCAGTTTTTTCGAAATAAATCTTTCCCTTTTTCACTCTTTCAAGATACCATCTCCAATGGATCATTAACAGATTTGGACCAACGTATAAATTACGACGTATACTTCCATTTTTCTCAGCTAATCCGGTGGTAATTTTCCATCGACTAATTGTTGATTGTAGGTTTTCACATAGAATACTAACTTCCTTGGGGTATAATCAGGTTTGGATATATGTATATTTTTGTCTTTGATTTTTTCTAGCTTCATTCTTTATCATTTATTCAAAACGTAGTAAAAAATAAATTGGTGGATTACTATACATAGAACGCCGGGAAAAACTCGGGTCTCCAAGCGGGAATAAAAAACATACCAATTGCGAATATCCTGTTGAAATCGGGATAATCTACGACCATGCCAACAATACTACAGACCTAACAGCTAGAACAAAAAAATTACGACGCGATACTATTTCAGCAGAGGGGAAGGGTGTATGCGTACGACGGAGCAAAAGACAGGTCCGATCCAGTTTTCGGTCGTATACGACGAATAATTATCCCGGTCGCGACATACCTCCGATACTAGATCTACGCACGAAATATCTTTATTTTTTTTTTTTTCATTTCAGTAAAATTTATTACGCTCTCTTTATAATAACTACAATATTATATTATAGTCGACGATATTCGTTATTATAATAATTGTTGTCCAGAATATTGTACGGCCTTTCGGAGACCGTTTGCGCTCCCTAAACGAATTCAGTCCACGGGGATAAGAACGCTCGGTTAAAAAAAAAAAAAACTCGAAAAAAAAAACAAAAAAAACAAGGGATTGCAAATGACGGCAGTTCCTCGGGGCGATGTGTAAATTCCAAATACAATTAATTATACGCTCCTTATTTAATCCTGCGGGGCACATCGCTTAGCCCGTATTTCACTCGCCGAGGTGGGATTTTATAAGCTCCCCGCGAGTGTCTGTGTGTACACTATATATTTATATATATAAATATACGTAATATACAGCTACAGTGTGCTGTTGGTCAAGATTACCGAACCACCATCACCGCCGCCGCCGCGACCGTTCCTTCTCTGTATTCGCGTCGGGCTATTAAAATTTTCACCCCGACTTTATAAAACGTTATGTATACGTATATATAAACTTTTTCGCTATATATATACTCGCCTTTGAAGACTCCGTGACTATATATATATAGAAAACTGACGTGAACAAATTAAACTCCTCTTATAATACCTATACCTATAGCTATACCTATGTTCTTTCTATAATATACGTATTATAGGTATCTATCTACAAAACGAACATTTTCAACTTTCGTATCAAAAGATTGCTAATAACTTATTTTTTATTTTTGTTTTATTCCTAAGTACGTTATGGGAGATACGGTGGTAGTATTACATGATATCAATCAGTCCGGGACCGCGGCCGTTTCAAAAGATCAATCCGCTGAGTATCTATACTCCGCGACAATAATACGACACTACATCAATATTAAACTGTCACGTACGGATTTTACAGTGTTTTTAGCTTTTGAATTTTATTTTATGTATAGATATATCTACGCGATCTGTAGATGCAAAAACCGATGAAATGGCGCGTAAGTATCCTGCACGATAACTATATTTCATGATACCGCGTTTAAATGATTAATCTACGCCCGATATTATATTTTAACAAGCCCTGAAAACTTACTACACACAATTTTTTAATAATTACATTTTTTTTTTCCATTGTATTCAATTATGAATTTTGAGATTATATCGATATTTTCAAACAGTGTTTATAATACACCATTATAATGAAAAAGCCGTAATCAGTGAATCCAGAGTGACTTTTAGATTCCGAGTGTAGCGAGGAAGCTATTGGTTTTACAATACTGTTTATTTCTTTTTCTTCTTTTTTTTTGTTCTAGTCTGTAAACACGTTTTTTCCTAATAAACTTGCTCCAATTTTTTTACGTGTAGCAACTTTTCTGAAAGCTCAAGTGGTCCAGATTGTACATTAAAGACTTCGACGCCATTTTTTAAATAAAAGCACTTAAGTGGGGAAAAAACGTAGGAAAACGTTCAATTTCACGACTTCAAATTATGTATTATCGAACTGCGCTGGGAATCGTCTTTCGTCAAGAAATGATTTATCGTTGCTTACAGATATAAATAAAAAAACCTTATGTATTCTATCTTCCCAACTTCTCACCTATAACAATGGCCGCTTCCATCCCTAGTACCAGCTCTTTTTTTTTATCGTGATCTAGCGATTTTTTTGAAGAGTTAATATTATTTCTGTTTTTTCCGACTGACTATTATGATGGAATTGTTTAAACTTTTCTTAACACTATTCTCAAATATACCCATTTTACTTTATACTATATCTTAATACTTATAACTTGGACGAATAGACTTTTCCTACGTATTCTCCCTTCTTTTTGTATACATTAAGAAAAATACCAGGAAAATCAAAAAATTACATCCTTGATAAACCAAATTGAAAAAAAAAATGTGATAATACAAAGATAAAAAAATCAAAACCTTCGAGTGACCTTAATTTAGATTATAATAATCATAAATCGCATAAATAAATATGTAAACCAGCGCACTAATGGCATATAGTTTATATTTATTTATTCCATAATATATACTAACAAAGGTTAGACATTCGGTATATTCCCGTGTTAAATAAATCGGTGACATTGAATGGCCATTAGTTTTGATATCAATACAGTAAATACGGACGTCTTCGTAAATCAAGTAAATATGCGTATGACATCAGGTCGGTTAACAAAAACGTTTCCTTTTAATCATATTATTTCAGACCACATGTAAACAAGCTGATCGATTTTTGGCGGGTTACACCAAGACACGAGGTTTATGATAAGGTAATAAAGAAACGTTTATTTACAACATAAAGACATAAAACAAGTGATCGCCAGCAGACGGCTTTTGACGGAGGAAAAGGCGAGCACGCAACAATATAATAATAAAAAACAATATTAGTTAAGAAAAATAATGTTATATAATAATTATTCGGAGTCGGAAAACAATGTTTCGCGAACGGTGTCGGTGCGGAGAGGGCGAGCGGAGCAGTCGTGACGTCGAGTCGAGCGGAGCTGTGGACGATGACCGTTGAACGCCGACGGCGCGAAACCCGCCACAGATTGTTTATTTTATAGATGATCGTTGATAATAAATAATTAAATAATGATAAGTAGGTGATCGAATATCATACTTTTATAGCAATCATTTAAATGATTTGTGTTATGTTGGGTTTTGGCTGCACATTATTATATTATGGCCCACTGTGCAGCACTCAGAATCTAAAATTACATTGAATAGTTATTATTTAATCATTATCACCGAAATCGTATCGAACATGCAATTATTAACACTGTATGCAAATGCGCCTCTATTTGCTATTCACATTTAATATGTTAAACTTCCGTATCGGTAATGACTATAATAATATTATATAAAGTAATGAGTTC